TGTCTCCATGTTGATCAGGCTGATCTCGAACTCCCAACCTCAGATGATCCACCTGCCTCGGCATCCCAAAATGCTGGCATTACAGGCATGAGTCACCATGCCTGGCTGTTTTTTTCTTTTCTTTTTTTTTTTTTTAATTTGAGACAGGATCTCATTCTGTTGCCCAGGCTAGAGTGCTATGGTGACATCATGACTCACTGGAGCCTCAACCTCCTCGGCTCAAGTGATTCTCCTGCTTTAGCCTCCCAAGTAGCTGGGACTACAGGTGTGTACCACCACACCCGGCTAATTGTTTTGCTTTGTAGAGACAAAGTCTGCCTATGTTGCCCAGGCTGGTCTTCAAGCCCTAGGCTCAAGCAAGTCTCCTGCCTCATCTCCCAAAGTGTAAGGATTACAGGCATGAGACATTGAGCCCAGACTCACTGTGTTTTTTAATATACATTTTCTTAATGACTAATCATGACTCTCTTCATGTGTTTATTTGCCATCCATGTATCTTATTTGAAGTGCATAATGTTTAATCAAGTTGTTTTCTTACTGAGTTTTTTACTTTTTATTTTTGAGATGGAGTCTTGCTCTGTCACCCAGGCTGGAGTGCAGTGGATCTCGGCTCAATGCAACCTCCGCCTCCCAGTTTCAAGCGATTCTTCTGCCTCAGCCTCTCGAGTAGACACATGCCATCACGCCCAGCTAATTTTTGTATTTTTTAGTAGAGACGGGGTTTCACCATATTGGCCAGGCTGGTCTCAAACTCCTGACCTTGTCATTCGCCCACCTCAGCCTCCCAAAGTGCTGGGATTACAGACATGAGCCACAGTGCCTGGCCCTGGGTATCTCTTTTTGACAATATCACACTGCTGTGATTACTATAGCTTTATGTAAATTTTTAAATCTGCTTGTTGTTATCTATAAGATATCTTGCTAAGATTTTAATTGTGATTGATTTGAATATACAAATTAGTTTGGTGAGAACTGGCATCATAATACTGAATCTCCTGACCCAGGAATATTATTTGTGTCTCCATTTATTTAGGTCTTAATTTGTTTTTTGTTAGTGTTTTGCAGTTTTAGGCTTATACTCCTTGCACATATTTAGTTAGATTTATACCTAAGTGGCTGGGCGCAGTGGCTCACGCTTGTAATCCTATCACTTGGGGAGGTCAAGGTGGGTGGATCACCTGATGTCAGGAGTTCATAACCAGCTTGGCCAACATGGTGAAACCCCGTCTCTACAAAATTACAAAAATTAGCCAAGCATGGTGGTGGGTGCCTGTAATCCCAGCTACTCAGGAGGCTGAGGTGGGAGAATTGCTTGAACCTGGCGGCGGGGGCAGATGTTGCAGTGAGCCGAGATCGTGCCATTGCCCTCCAGCCTGGATGACAGAGCAAGACTCTGTCACCAAAAAAAAAAGAATACATAAAAATAAATAAAAGATTTCTATCTAAGTAGTTTGTGGTTTTGGTGCTACTGTAAATGTCATTCAATTTTTAAAATTCCAATCATTCATTGTTAGTATCTAAATATACAATCGACTTTTGCTTATTGACCCTATATCCTGTGACCTGGCTTAGCTTAGATTTAGTTTTAGAATCTTTTCTGTAGATTTTCCACATAGACAATTATGTCATTTGCAAGTAGAGCATTTTATTTCTTCCTTTCTGATCTGAGTAACTTTGACTGCTGTTCCTTGCCTTAATTACTGAGTAGTATTATGTTAAGTAGGATTAGTGAGAAGAGATTTCCTTGCCTTATTCTTGAACTTTGGGGGAAAGCATTTAGTTGTTCACCGTTAAGTGTTTATGTTAGGTATTGGGTTTGTTTTGTAAATACCCTTTATTAGGTTAAGGAGGATTTCTTCTATTCCTAGTTTCCTGAGGGTTGTGTTTTTGGTTTTGTTTGTTTTTTGAGAGGGAGTCTCACTCTGTCACCCAGACTGAAGTGCAGTGACACGATATGGCTCACTGCAACCTCCACTGCCTGGGTTCAAGTGATTCTCCTGCCTCAGCCTCCTGAAGAGCTGGGATTTGGGATTACAGGCACCTGCCACCACATCTAATTTTTGTATTTTTTAAATAGAGATGGGGTTTCACCATGTTAGTCAGGCTGGTCTCAAACTACTGACCAGGTAATCAGCCCACCTCAACCTCCCAAAGTGATGAGATTACAGGCATGAGCCACTGCACCCAGCCTAGATTTTTTTTCTTTTGCTTTCTTTTTTTTTGAGACAGAGTTTTGCTCTTATTGCCCAGGCTGGAGTGCAATGGCGCCATCTCTGCTCACTGCAACCGCTGCCTCCCAGGTTCAAGCGATTCTCCTGCCTCAACTCCAGAGTAGCTGGGATTACAGGCATGCACCACCACACCCAGCTAATTTTTGTGTTTTTAGTAGAAATGGGTTTCACCATGCTGGCCAGGCTGGTCGTGAACGGTATTTTTTTTTTTTTTAATCATCAGTGGATCCTGAATTTTGTCAAAAGCTTTTGAGCATCTATTGAGTTTTTCTTTTAATATGATCAATTACATTGATTGATTTTAAAAATGTTGAGCCAGCCCTGTACTCCTGTGATCAACCCCACATAGTTATGATGTATTACAGTTTTATATAATATTTTTTCCTTTCGTGGAAGAAAAAGTGGGAGAGACTTCTGCTTTATGGAGAACGAGGATGCATTGCTCTAAGGTTTTTCCTGTTTTAATTAAAATATAATTGAGGCTTCCTTGAGAAAAGATGAAGGCTGTTAAATAGGGGGCAAGTACCTTCGCTCGCTGCTACTGAAGCATTTCAAAATATATTTTGTTTGTAGGAGTAAAAATATATTGTAATAATTCTCCAAATAGCTGATACACGTCTGTGCTAATTACAAGAAAGAAGAACAACCCGCACAGTTCCCTCTTAGGATTGTGAAATGCTTTTCCCTTCCTTTAGGAGGATGCTTGTGTAATTATTTAATAAAACTGTGGCATACTCTAAAAACATCATTTTTGTCACTACTAAAGATGACACCACTGATGATTTTTTTTTTTTTTTTGAAATGGAGTCTTGCACTGTCACCCAGGCTGTAGTAAAGTGGCCTGATCTTGGCGCACTGCAACCTCTGCTTCCTGGGTCAAGCAATTCTCCTGCCTCAGCTTCCGGAGTAGATGGGACTACGGGCATGCACCACCACGCCCCGCTAATTTGTTTGTATTTTTGGTGGAGATGGGGTTTCACCATGTTGGCCAGGATGGTCTTGATCTCCTGACCTTGTGGTCTGCCTAGGCCTAGGCTTCCCAAAGTGCTGGGATTACAGGTGTGAGCCATCACGCCTGGCCGACAGCTAATAATTTTTTAATTTACCTGTATTGATAACGATGTGCTAATCATGTATCAGGCATCGCTATAAGGGCTTTATATTTATTAAAATATAATACATATTTTTATTTATTTATTTATTTATTTATTTGAGACAGAGTTTCGTTCTTGTTGCCCAAGCTGGAGTGCAATGGTACAATCTTGGCTCACTGCAACCTCTGCCTCCCGGGTTCATGCGATTCTCTTGCCTCAGCCTCCTGAGTAGCTGGGATTACAGGCATCTACCACCACGCCCAGCTAATTTTTGTGTTTTTAGTAGAGAAGGGGTTTAACCATGTTGGCCAGGCTGGTCTCGAACTCCTGACCTCAGGTTGTCCACCTGCCTTGGCCTCCCAAAGCGGTGGGATTACAGGCGTGAGCTATAGCGTCTGGCCTAAAACATAATAAATATTTATTAATGCTGTATTGGATGAGGCAACCAGGGCTTAGAGAATTCAAATACCTGTCCAAGGCCACTCAGCTAGTCAGTGAGAGGAATGAGATTCAAGGCTGCTGCACATGGCTGGGTCATCAGTGCAGCCACAACTCCAGAGGTGTCCTGCACACTGACTCTGCTGTGAAGGGCACCCCCAGGAGGTGTGCAAGCCTGGTGGCCTTAACGGGCTTCTAGCCAAAGTCTGCCTGAAGTTAGATGATCCACGCTTTTATCTCTCCCCATGCTGCACTGCAGTGGGAAAGCCTGTGGCCTAAAATGTTTCATAGGTTCAGTCACTTCTAGCAAGCTTTCTTTCTTTTTTTTTTTTTTTTTATTTGAGACGGAGTCTTGCTCTGTCACCCAGACTGGAGTGCAATGGCACGATCTCAGCTCACTGCAACCTCCGCCTCCTGGCTTCAAGTGATTCTCCTGACTCAGCCTCTTGAGTAGCTGGGATTACTGGTGCCCACCACTGTGCCCAGCTAATTTTTGCATTTTTAGTAGAAACCATCTTGGCCAGGCTGGCCTTGAACTCCCGACCTCGTGATCTACCCGCCTTGGCCTCCCAAAGTGCTGGGATTACAGGCATGAGTCACTGCGCCCGGCCTGCTAGAAAGCTTTCTATGGCTCAGTTCTTAGGGTTATTTCTGGCGCTGATAGATATAAAGCCCACTGTGTACTCAGGCTAAAGAGCAGCTCATTCCATCTCCTCTCTGTCAAAGAGAGAAAACAAAAAACAATGATAAAACAGAAAAACTGCTTGACCTTAATAGCAAAACATCTGTTAAAAGACAAATAGTAAAATACAGTGAAATATCTGTTAAAATACTAAAATATAAGAAATAATAAAATATCTAAACAGTAAAATATATAAATATCTAAATAGTAAAATACATACGTAACAGTAAAATATCTGTTAAATAGTAAAATATATAAGTAACAGTAAAATATCTGGTCAAGGTGGCTCAAGTCTGTGACCCCTGCACTTTGGGAGGCGGAGGCAGGTAGGACCCTTGAACCCAAGAGTTTGAGACCAGCCTGGACAACATAGGGTAACCCCATCTCTTCAAAAAATAAACAACAACAAAAGTTAGCTGGGTGTAGTTGTCTGTCTGTGGTCCCAACTACTTTGGAGGCTGAGGTGGGAGGATCACTTTAGCCTGGGTATTCAAGGCTGCAGACGCCTGTGATTGCTCCACTGCTTTCCAGCCTTGGAGACAGCAAGACCCTGTTTCAAAATAAATATGTAAATAAATGAATAAAAGTCAGGTGAATTATACAAAGAAGCATGCTCTACTGTGTTCAAGTGCAATGATGAGCAATGGGAGAATGATGAGATGAGGAATGCATCACAGGGGTTGTCCTCAGCTTCAGCAAGGCTGTGGGAAGGAGGAGCACACCAAGAGATCTTTTTTTTTTTTTTTTGAGATGGAGTCTCACTCTGTTGTCCAGGCTGGAGTGCAGTGGCATGATCTCTGCTCTTTGTAACCTCCGCCTCCTGGGTTCAAGCAATTCTCCTGCCTCAGTCTTAAGTAGCTGGGATTACAGCATGTAACACCATGTGTGGCTAATTTTGTATTTTTAGTAGAGACGGGGTTTCGTCATGTTGGCCAGGCTGGTCTCGAACTCCTGACCTCAGGTGATCCACCTGCTTCAGCTTCCCAAATTGCTAGGATTACAGGCGTGAGCCACCATGTCCGGCCATCAAGAGATCTTTATAAAAGGAGGAAATCAGATTAGGAGATAAAAGGGACAAGTGCTGTGTCTGCTGCCTTGAATTCACCTGCCCTTCTCCTGGTAACAGAACCCCAGTTTCCTTTTGTGGAACGACCTCACTCCGCTCTCAATCCATTAGCTTTTGGGGGAGCTGATGCACCCTTCTGCTCCAGGTCTGCCTCTCAGATCTGCCCACTGTGATTTTCAGGGACAGCAGGCAACCAAATCAGAGTTGGTAAGACAGCACAGGGCTTCTGAGACCACCAAGAGGTGGGACACTCTTTCCCTGATGAACGTGCACGCAGGAAATGTTTTGTTTTGTTTGAGATGGAGTCTTGCTATTTTGCCCAGGCTGGAGTGCAGCAGCATGACCTTGGCTCACTACAGCCTCTGCCTTCCAGGCTCAAGTGATCCTCCCACCTCAGCCTCCCAAGTAGCTGGCACTACAGGTATGTATTACCATGCCCAGCTAATTTATAAATTTTTTGTAGAGACAGGGTTTTGCCACATTGCCCAGGCTGATCTCCAACTCCTGAGCTCAAGTGGTCCACCCACCTCAGCCTCCCAAAGAAGTGCCAGGACTACAGGTGTGGGCCACTGTGACCAGCCTATACGAGGCATTTTGAATTTGGAGCTGATGTAGCCATCCTGCTTCTGGGGGATGGCATGGATGAGAATGGAGTCAACCCAGAGGACAGGGAGCCCAGAGACTCCCAGAGAGGAACCAAGTCCTGGGAATATAGCAGGGCCTTGGATGAAGCTGCGGGTAAAGCCAGCCCTGGCCCTGAACTTTTCCGATTGTGAAAACTAAGAAGTTCTCTTTTTGCTAGTTTAGTTTACCGGAGGTTTTCTGTCAATTGCAGCTAAAAGGTTCTCAGCTGATTCTGGGAAGAACCGGGGTTGCTATGCAGCCAGCAGCACGCTACAAGGACCCAGCTAAGAGCACCAGAGACAGGCGCAGTCCTGGGCAGACTGGCTGGGGCTGTGTCCTCATGCTCCAGGTCATCTTTAGTGAGCACAGCTAATGAGCCCAAACGCACAACTCCTCCGTCTGGGACCTAAAGATTGCTGGAAACTAAATCGCCTGCTTCTTGGATCCGGTTTTCTTCCTCCTACAGGCACCACAGGTCTTTACCTATGCCCAGCTTTATCCTGCACAGGAGGATGGAAGATGACAAAAATTCTAGCACTTCAGCCTTGTTGCAAATTGCAAATTGCAGCAAACAAATATCAGCTTCATAAATTGTTCTAAAAGAACTAGGGCAAGCCTCAGGGGGAGGTATTTTTAAGTCAGAAAGATTTGTGTTGCTTACCTGACCCTCAGCAGCAGGATTAACAGCTGTGGCCAGAGATAACACAGAGATAGCGGTTTTGGGGGCTCACTGTTGCCGAAGAGTTCATTCATTCATCAAATATGCAAAGCACGTACTAGTACTGAGCGCAGCGGCCTCGACCTCTCATCCGGGGGCTGACTCAGATGTTAAGCCAGCCAACTAATAAATACCCACACTTCCCAAGGAGACAGTTTGGGTATGGGATACAGAACAGCGGAGGAGACAGGAAAGGCATTTCCGAGGAGGTGGCATTTAGACTAAACATGCGGGGTAAGGAGTCTGAGCAGGGCAGGCTTGTGTGGGGCAGGGAGAAGTCTGGTCACAGACGGAACCACCTGTGGGAAGGTGCTGGGGCAGGAAGGAAGGACAGCATGAATGAGGGATGCCTTCAGATCCTTGAGGAGGATATTAAAGGGATCTAGAGCGGACCCAGTTGCTCCTAATCAGCAAAGCAAAAGGCTTGGTGAGACTTGTGGTCAGTACTGCTTACTCTGGTGCTCCCAAAAGAGAAAGCAGACTGGACTCCAGTCACAAACCCTGAGCTCCACGCTGGG